CTGTTATCTGCACTCAAGTGCCAAAGTAATATCTGACACAGAAAGTTTAGGTTCTAAAAATGCTAATTATCTTCCTTGTCATTGCCTAGAAATTCTGTGGTGGCTTGGGGGAAAAAAAAACGTACTAAGCTGGGGAGAGGTCGGTAATATAAACATTTCAATAGTTCGCTTCACCCTTGTGCGCATTCACAATAAAGTAATTAGAAGTTACATATACTCTAAAGGACTTATTTTAATGGCCAAAAATTTCCCCTATAAGTCCTCACTGTTGACACACCCGCATCTCCCAGTGCCCCACAGCACTACCAGAAGAAGATAAATGGCTTCTAAATTTGTTATATGGCAGTGGTTTTTTGTCTCACTATATTCTTATTCCTAGTATATGTTAAAGTTTTATAACTTTTTAGTGCTTCTATCAGATACTCGGAGACACCAATACCCTGGGTCGATTGTATAGAAATTGATTGAGAGTTCTCTTGTGTCTTATGTTTCGCCAAAGAGAGAATCAAAATTTCCAATGTTTGAGCGCGTTTGCACAACCAACTCCATGGCGCACCTTTTCTGAGCCTACTCTTTCCTATAAAAGAAAGCACACCCTTCTTTCCATAATAAAATAAAACTGAACTCCAAGCTACCCTGTATATACTGTATATCAAATTACAACGAGCTCAGTGTTGCCTAAAAAACCCCTCACACCTCGAGGGAACAACCCCAGTATGAAGACACAATCACCCACCGAGAGCAACCGCTCAAGCTTTGGTCTTCCCGCACTCACCAAACTCAACGAATAAAAAACCTCCGACCCCACACTAAGCACTCCTATAAAAAAATATACAATAAACAAAAGCCTATATATACACATACTTTCACTATGGCACTGTAGACCCTATATAACGTATATGTATATTATCGTTAATGATTAGCATATGAAATTCAGGGTCAATACAGCAAGTGTTGAATATTTCCAAAGTTCACAGAAATAACTAAAACTGCCACAGTTCGTTGAGAATACAGAAAATGAGTGTTCAATAATTCAACAACTGACTGATTGTGGTGTCTCAATGAACAATGCTCAGATGTCATCATTGAGGGAATTACAATCTCAACCAGATCACAAATTGAGACCCCTTCACCAGTGACAATAAGCGGAATTTATTTTTTGCATGCCTGCATTAACACTTAGTAAGTTTGTGCCCCGAGCAAATTGAGTAAAAATTGTTTTGGTGCAGTTAAAAATTTTGGAGAGAGCGCGCACAAAAAGTTCCACAACAATTTATGCATACAAAATGTCTTAACACCGCCACCTCACAATATCACATACAAATAGAGTTCTGCGCGCGCACAGAGAAAAAAAGAAAAAAATTTGGCTGGCCTCCAGAAATTCCAACACCAGAAAGATCTCACCCAGTTCACCAACCATCCCGTATATAACACGCACAGCGCGCAGATTAAAAAGCACACTCCTCTCAAGCTACTCTCGTGACTCACACCGCTAATGTTCATTACACGCGCCTGTGGCGTATTCGTACCCATTAGCTATGGCGTAGCATTCATACCCCAAAGCCAAAACTCAGACAAGTAAAACACAAAAAAAAAGTTTAACAAAACATCCTCCTCTGGTTGAGTTGAAACGCACAGACATGTCTTTTTTGTGCTTTAATCCTGCGTAAGCTGGACTCTTCAAATGCTCGCCGCATTTTGTTGAACACGAGAACGAACAAAACGACGCCCCGCTCGGCAACCTTTGCAAGTGATACACTGGCTTCCAAATACCAGGCAAAAGAGTGAATGGCTTTAACCTACAACTACAATATTTATCCTCCCGCAAAAATAATATAAAAAAAAATTCTAGTGATAAAAAGCGTCGCATCTTGACCGAGTTGTATAACAAATACATACTTTCTCTTACCAAGGTTGACCTAGGCAACCCTCACTCCTCTTCCCCTCCTCCTCCAGTGGCCTTCCCATCTCCTTTCACTTCTTCTTGGCAAAGCGACTGAACTTCTTCTCCTTGTCTTTCTTGGCAGAGCTGGGCTCAGGGAGGGCAGTTGAGGAGGAGGGAGCGGGCAGGCTGTGGGCTTTGGCCCCTGAGGGCCCCGACGCCTCCTCCGCTGCCAGGGGCTGAACGGCCTTCTCCATGGCTTGGGTCCAACGTTGGAGCTCCTCCTGAAATTAAACACAAGAACACACACACACCACAGCGGCTTACAAAGGGAAGTCCACCTCCAGAGGGGCAGTGTGTGTTTTCGTCTCCTGGTCTATTTGAGTAAATTAACTCAAAGTGGAGTTGGTCATGCATTCAACAATCAAACTTTTAAAAAAGGTGTTTGTGAAGCTAAATCAACCTGAAAACAACCTCGCTGTGAATTATTCACAGAATTATTTTGCTACATTTAATGATCCCTGTAGGGTAAATCTCTGCTGATGGTGAAATGGAAGGAAATGTGAATGACCTTGTTAATGTCGGCTACTTACATAAATAACCTTGCCAGATTACTTAGACATGGGAAGACATATTAAACTTAAACAGCGTATAACTGAAATATGTATGTAGTGCACGAAGCATTACACCCTGTGACCACTTCTTTACATAGGGTCAAAGATCATGTAGTACATGCCAAAACAAGTGGAGAACATTTAGTCTCATCTGATTCATGGAAAGCGGTTCAAAACTTACCTCGTCTTTACATTGGAACAAATATTCACTGCCGTCTCCAAGACTGTGAGAGAGAAAGGAAAGTGGACATTTATTGTGTGGAGAAACGCAAGAGGATCTAGTGGTTGTTTTATACTTTATTTTGACCATTAGGATAAAATAAAGTGTAAAAAAGTTTCTCCAAAACATATTTTTAATTTATCCAAGCAACTAAACTCTAACTTTGTACACATTTGAAAAAAAAGTTTTAATGAATTATGGTTTTATGTGGCGTTTTGAGTAGGACTATTTTCTTGCTGGGAGCAATGACTTCCTGGAGTCTCTGCTTGGAAACTTCACAGTGATTACAGGAAGTCACTGTACCCGGCCACTAATGATAACAAACATAGTGCCTTTCTTACACAAAATAAAAAAGAAATAGTCCGGCACATATTGGCCGATAAGACCACATTTGATTCTCATTTATCTCCTGGAAAGAAAGCGAACACATTCCTAAAACTACTCCTTTAATAGTGACACCATAGACATTTTCACAGTAGCCATGTTGACATGAAACTGCAGGGTGTTAGCAGTGATACTAATTAAGGTTCCGTTCCTTTAATGTCAAACAGAGTCAGAGTGCAGCTCTTTTGCATGTTGGCTCACTGGAAGTCTCTGCTACACTAAATGGAATAAACGCTGAATTGGTATCATTAGTAACACCTGTGATTACCCTACTAATTCATGTCCAAATGGCTGCTGTGTAAAAAGGTCTATTACGAAAACCTAAAGATGGATTGGACTCTCACCGTAGTGTGGAGACGTGCTTCTTTTTCTTGTAGTTGGTAAGGATCTCCCAGCTGGCGTTACTGAGGGACAGGGGGACCTCGCCGTGGTACGTCACCCCGTGGCCAAAACTCTTGGCGTCCTTATAGGCTGAGAGCTGACCGGGCTTCAGCACACAATACAAGTTGTTCCATGACCTGAGAGAAAGAAGAAGAGTTGAAAATGGAGGACTTAACTATTGATCATTTCAGGTGGCTAATGTGCGGCAATAATGCAGAATCAATTTAATTTAATCCCAATTACAAGAGCCACAACAACATCACCGCTCCATTAAGACTTCATTTAGTTCATTAGAAATAAGAAGCACAGTTGCTCACTGCTCTGGAACAACTGTAAATAGTTTTTTTTTATCAAGAAGAACACTGCCAGATCCTTTTTAATAAAAAAAAGCAATCACAAAGTATAAGTAAAACAAAACGTGTGGTCTCTGTAGTAACAAATTGACTTATAGCAGCTGCTTAATCATCTTACAATCATACAAGTGGCTACAAGAGGGACTTGCTTTTAACTTGAAAGGTAGATAGTTAATATTTTCTGGTGCTGCTTATGTTGTGTACAGAAACTCACCCAAAAACTATCAAACTAAAGGAGTTTTTAAACTGTGAATGCACAATTTCTGACAGAGTATGACGTTCATTAGCTCCTTGTTGAACTTTGCATGTCTGAAATCCTCCTAATAATTCAGTTTACACGTACTGGAAGAGTGCTTCTTCAATTTCAAATCTCTATAGAATACAAGCTGCTTGCGTTGTAGAGATTAATTTACTTTTTTTAAGGTTTCAGTTTTCTCATGTATGTTTTGGATGTGAGATTTCACAAGTCTGTAATTAATGCTCTACAGAGAGCATTTCCATATTAGGGCCTGCTAAGTGTATATTAACTATAACTTAAGTTTGCATTTCTATATCTTTATTTATCTTTAAGACTCACAGGCGTGTTTTGAATGCATGCGCGCTATAAATGTAGCTGTTTTTCTTACTACCCCTACAGGCAGCCATTGGTTTCCTTTCATTTCTTTCCAATCTGAAAATAAATTAGAAAACTCTTGAAACTTGCTTGAGTTGTTTAATCCATCACAAAGAAAATTAACTCTGCATTCATTTCCGTTGTACTGCTGTTGCAGATTGATTTAAAAAGTCTGAGTGCAATATGTGAGGTAACTTGAAAAATGAATGCTGACTTGATGTTCACGGTGATGGATGAAAGAAGGTGAGCAATTTTTCAAGGATGCTAATATAAGTTTCCTAACATGCAGAAATTAATGGAAGCAAATGAATTTCTGTATTGGATAGTGGGGTAATGTAAAGACTACATTACATGTGGTAAGTGGGCTACAATATGCAGCACTGTGGTCCCTTTTCCTGTTATCTACCTATTTGAAGCTTTCTTTCCTGAGCCCTCCACATCGTGTTTGCGGCCCAGCATGCCCTCCTGCAGCACTGTCTGGGCTCTGAGGGGCTCCAAGGGCATCGTGGCAGCCCTCTCTGGTTCTTTCGGCATCACAACTGAGACAGAGGGCTCCAGCTCCAGAGAACCACTCTCTCTCATTTCTGACTCTATGGGCACTGTAGAGTCACCGGCTGTCCCCTCCAGCAGACCCGAACTGGGCTCGACTGCGCCAGAACCAGACTGGAGGAGAGAGGAAAAAAAATTGAGACAGAAACAGAATGAGAAAAATTAGCAGCAATTCAACCTGCGTATTTTGAGGAGATAGGAGAGCAGAGATTGCCCTTGATTTATGCATCCATGATTATTTTTTTTACAAGTGCGCAAAGAGGGTTCTCAACAGAGTCAAATTTAGTTTGTTTTTGAGTAAGAAAGTCAAGGAGCTCTTAAATGCAGGAGTCAGTAAGAAACAAGCATGGAAGAGAGGCTATTTTTCTCTTTTTAAACTTTCAGCATTCTTGAACAGAGGTCACAACATGACAAACTACAGAGGACAGGAGCTGAGTGAGTGTAGCTACTAACCAGAGTCTGTTCCTCAATGGTGTAAAGCTGCGAAGATTCTTCTACAAAGCCGGTGTCTTCTCTCCTGTAGGAAAGAGGGCAGCATGGGGTTGACTTTTGAGAGCAGCGGGTGAAGAAACAATGTGTTTGTATGTGTGATAGAGAGCGAGATAGAGAGAGAAAGAGAGTGAGAGAGACTGTGCGTGCATGAAATTGTAAAGGATAAGTCTTGCAGTATTCTTTATTTTTGTTGTCAATAATCCCCTGTGGAAAGACACTACGGTTGTCCATCTCTAAATACTTTCTGACCTCTTTGGCCTGTCTTTTGGCTCTCAACCCGAGCCCATTTGTTCATACTGTGTCAATAAGATTTGTCTTCTTTTGTTTTGTTGTATTTTTGTATTTAAAATCGGCAAAATAGTCTCCTAGAATAGCTAGGCACGGTGGGTTGTGTGGGTTTTATTGGGCACTTCTTTCAGTGGTGGATATGTTGCATTAATGAGTATTTAAGGCAGTGGACATTGTACGTGGGATTGATTCAAAGTAAACCCCAGTCATTATAATGAAGGACCACGTCACCCAGTGCAGTGTGGCTCATGTATGTGTTTATTAAACAGTGGAGGTCTCTATTAGGCTTCAGATACACTGACAATACTTGTCAACAGGATTAATTCATTGTTGGTTTGGGTGATTTCAGTGGATTTAAGACAGTAAGAAAAGTTCTGAATATCACCAGATGTATCATTTGAAAGGACTTTTGTGATGATATTGACTGTCGGTATGTGGGTGTGTGTTTACCTGCTGTCCTTATCTGAACGTTGCTCTTCTTTAATGAACTCCTCCATCTCCTGCTGCTGCTTCCTCAGCTCCAACAACTCCAGCTGTAACACAGTGGTGAAGAGGAATCAGTACCTTATCGATTCTTCCATTAAGGAACATCATACGGCACACCTTGTCAGCACTCATTAACTAAATATGTCTTGTTTAAAGTTGTTGGGTAAGCCTGCAGGTAAGATTTTTCTAACAAAACCATAGTAAAACCTATTTTTCAGCAGCTATAATCAGTCCTGTTTTTTTTTTTTGTTTCCTTACTGTAGTGAGGCGCTCCAGTGCAGAGAAGCGCTCTTCCCAAGTAGCGGTGGATTTCTCGAAGGCCTCGTGCCTCTTGAGGAGTTTCTCGACCTCGTCCACAGTGTAGCCCAGGTCTTTACTGGTCACGTAGGGCTCCTGAGCGATAAGCCAAGCCTCCGCCACGGAGGCATCCCGCGCAAACTGACAGACCTCGAGCACTGCAGGCGATAAAGTCAGAGGACATTATCAGAGCTTTTACAGTGAAGTTTTATTCTTTAACCTGGTTACTAAATATATTTTAAAGTCAAGGCTTGTTTTTATAGTTAGATTTAAGTTACGTTAAGGTTAGTGCTAGGAGCTGTAAGTGCTTTATGAGACAGTTTTGGAAAATGAGGACATTTTGAAATGTAAGGACACTTAGAAACTGAGGGCACGCTTTAGAACGTGTTGTTTAGATGGTGAGAACATTTAGAAAATGTATATTACAATCAGCTTTTTCTGTTGATGTTCATCTTGTATAAAGCAGCATTTTCTCTGTACTTAAATCTGTATAAGCCAAGTATGGAGGTTTATAAAACAGAGAGGCACATTGACAATTAACACGCTTATATGAGTCTGCTTTGTTTTGTCACGGCGCTCTTTCATGGGCAATCGTTCATACATATACAAGCTCAGTTAGTCATATGACCTTTGACAGTTTAGTGTAGATTTGTGAAAGCAATAATGAATGCACAGGAATTGCTTTTAGGTTGGAGGTTAGTGTGGATTTACTCACAGAGTCTGAGCCAGTCCCATCTATCGTTCCACTTGAACATCATCTCCTTCCTTTTCTCCGTCAGCTGCACCAGCTTCTCCTTGATCTGACACAAGCAGTTATTCAGTCGCAGTTACATATCAGCATTATTAAACAACTCAGCCCCAAGACTGGCTATTATCCTCTAAGAATTAGTATTGTGAAGTAATTAACCACACGTTAAATTCAGGCCGGGGTCAATTGCTCATTTAAATTCTTTTGGCTTTTCCATTTCTAATTAGTGTTTGCTTTATAGTCTCCCTGATGAGTATAAGATGAGTATAATTTTTTTCTTTCGTGGCGATCCAATTGGTTCCATTGTGCCAGACAAGAACAATCACTCCCAGAAAAGTAATTAAATCTAATGAAAGCAGCAATTTGAGGCCCAGCTGAGGATGAAAAGAAGCTGTCTTTGCTGCTGAGGCCTTACCTCAGCAGAGTCTCGGTGCTTGCGTGTCAGCAGGGCCTTGCCAAGGTCTATGCAGTCAGTGAATTTTGCTCCCCTGGTCTCAATCTCAGAGCGGATCCCTTGGTGGTACTTCTGCAGGAGCTCCACGGATGAGACATCCCTAATGTAGAGGAGGGAAGGATGATGTAAATTGATGTACAGGTAATGCAAGAAGTTTATCTACCTCTGTTGGTAGGGACTGGAACTGCATGACCAGGCTCAAGTTTACTGTGTCCTTTATCTAATGCAAACATACTTAAGTTGTACTATATAAATTCATACTAGTCTCATGAAGAGATAATATACTAAAGCTCAACTATATTTTCTACAAAAGTGAACAAGTTGCTTTTTAGGGTGAATTATAGCTTCTTTCACTTACAGCCTTTTGATAAACTGAATATTCTTCATACTTACCAACTATACAAGCAAACCAAATTGGACCCACTGAGACCGGCTACAGAACAACATGTGCAAGAACAAATTAATCTCATGTTTATCACTAATCTAATGTATCTAATTATACAGAATATAATGGGAAAGATACATTTTTACTGACTATTGAAAATGATGTGTATAAAAACTCAAGAGAGGTTTGGGGTTTGGTTTTCAGCTCTTTGAATCGGTAAGAAAAGAAAAAACAGCCTCTTGCAGATGGAAAATGGTAGAAATCAATTCATGTGGGTTGACATTTTTTGTGTTGTTAATTTATTTATCTATATCTTATTACTTAGTGGACATTATTTTGCTGTTTTCCACCTACTATCAAAATCATTAAATATACCTACTCTCTGTAAACAATGAGTCAGTTAGGACTTTTTCATTTCTTTACCCACAAAGATGTTAACGTCCAAATCTTTGTTGACAGTTGAAATGTGTGAAAAAAACTCAAATGCTCAAAGGGCAATGATTTAGGTTTGTTTTTCAGCTGTCGGAATCAGATTTCTCCTTAGAAAAAATAAATGCATCCTCTTGCAGTCTGAAATTTTTAGAAATAAATGTCAAGCTGAAACTTACTGAATAGACATCTAATTAAAAGTATAAAAACTCTGTCCGAGGTGTGCTCACCTGGGTTTCTCCTGAGTGTCTATCTGCTGGATGATGCTCTCCATCCAGGCCAAGAGATCTCGCACCATGGTGAAGAAGCGGAACTTCTCAGCTGTGTCCACCAGTCGTGCCCTGCGGCCGTCGCAGGCAGCCAGCAGGCCCTTCCAGGCTTCCACCACCTCTCGCTCTGTGGCCTGAATGCTGTCCGCTCTGCCCCCTGCATACTGGGCATGAAGCCGCGAAGCCGTCTCCTGGAACTGTTGAACCTGTAGGAAGGAGAATCAAGAGTCTCCTGTGACCTGGTTCAATATGCAACTTACCTAGTGTTACACAAGGACATTTAAAACCTCCAGTGCACTTTTTAGTGAAGTAGGAGGCACTTGTATCCAGTACTTAAACTTTTGAAATGAAATGTATTTGCATTTTCATAGATCCTGGATTATTTAATGAGGGAGAAGGAGTAGATGTAATCTTTAGAATTTTTACAAGAAGACAAGCAGACTATTTTTTAATTCTTAAAACATGTCTCTAGGGGATCTTTAATTGGTTACATCATGAGATCATAAGATGAATGTGAGTAGGAGAAAAACACATGTATTTATTCATTTGTATTAGCATTTTTCTCATTTACAGGAATTTTAATGACAAAAGAATTTGTATCTGTGCACTGAGGTTTTAACCCTTGTTTCCACATTACTTTGCAAATGTAATATTATGTGGTAAATATTTTAAATGCTTAGCTAACCATGCTCACACTATTTTATTTAAATTATTATTTTTTGCTTAACTACACAATAAAAGTGTATTTAGTCTATTTCATTTTACAGGGTTGAACCGACAGAGTTTTGCACTGTAAAACCAAAACAATGAGCTAAAAGGCCCTAAAACTCTCCTTAGAGCTGAAAGAAACAGCAGAGTGGGGTGATAATTCTCTGTGGGTTTATCACCAAGATTGACACCTTTCACATTACATATATTAATTTGACCCACTGTTAAGCAGCTTTACATTTTTAAATCTTATTAATTGCTCGTTCCCAGAGTAATGGGAATAAGAGGCTGATAATAATGTAAGAATCCCCCTATTAGACCACAGACACCATTTATGGCTTTGCACCCCTTGAGAAAACTTTCTACAGCTTCCCCAATATTGCAGCACTCTCTCCCTTCACCTCTAGATATGAATCATCAAAGTTTGCCTCTTTGCCGCTGCCTGCTGTGTTCCCTGAGAGTAAAAGGGCTGATCCCCTGTGTTGTACCTGTTTGCCTAAAGCGGTGATGTCTCTCTCAAAGGCGGCGTGCATTCTGTGGAAGGACTCGGCTTTGCTGAAGTCCTCTCCCACATCATCAGGCAGCTCTTTCTGCTTGTCTGTGATCTGAGTCACGAGTTCCTTCCCATCGTCAAAGTACCTTTAAAAAAAAAAAAGGGATCGATCTCTTAGTCTCTTTGGCCCTGTGTGTATTATCATCACATTTATCATCCTGCAACTCTAATCAATGTAAGTATGTCATGTTCAAGTTGAATTCTTTGTGACAGCAGATTCTGGTTTAAGTGGTTCCAGAAATCAGTATCATTCACATGTTTGGACACGTTATGCTGCATTACAGGACATGAAATCTTAATGGCATCAATCCGGATAACTAGGCGTCATACTGCTCGTGGTCTGGTGCATCAATACTGGTTTCCTTACTTGAGCAGTTCGTAAGATGTAGTGAGGAGCTGAGCGCGAGTGTCAATTAGCTCCAGCAGATCAGCCCAGCTCTCATTAATGCCGTCCTTCCACTCTGCCATGGTGGCTGCCTCGGTGTGACCGGCTTCGATCAGCTCGTCTATTGTCTGGTTGACCATGTCCACTCGCTCCTGACCCACCATCCCCGTCTCCCGTGCAAACTCTCGGAACTTATCCCTTAGAAGCTAAAGGGAAAAAATAGATATGGGTTTTAAAAAATAGGTGAAAAACTTTGACTTTTTGTAGGAATGGAAGTAGGAATTGCATTTAGACTCAAAGCTGCACAGGAAAATGTGCAAGCTGGGAGCCCATATGGCAGTGAGAGAAAACTATTTTTAACCTGAATTCCCAAGAAATGATGCAATGATTGCTCATGAATGCACAAGTGTTCATCAAAACAGACGTGTGATCACTTTACACCAAGAGAAGCAAAAGCATAAAATAGGTAAACTCTCCTTTGGTGGTTTCCCGTTGATGTTTATGAGACACTTTCATTTCCCCCTTAGCTGATTTTTCAGTTCCCTTAAACATATACATTTTAGTCAGTGAGCATACCGACCTATTTTATCTAGAATAGCTCCACCTCCAGAGTTACATAAATTGGGTTTACATAAAGATCTTGCCACATGCAGCTTTTTGAGTATTTGAGCACCTCTCATTAGTATAACACCTTTCATACAGGTTAGTACAATTCAAAGTGCTTAACAAATGACTCAATAACACAGTACAAATGTAAACAGTAAAATAGTTTGAGACTGATGGACACAAGAAATAAAAATTATACAGAACTAGTTAATAAAACCAATATATATAACTATATATATATATATAGCAGAGTAGCCATAAAACATTATAAATCAAGACAGGTGCAAGACCATGAAGTGCTTTAAAAACAAAAATAATCAAATAAATCAATACAAAAACTGACATGCAACCAATGAAATCGACATCCCCCAAATTCTTATGGGCATGGTCAAGGCTGCTGGATATAACAGCATGCTTTCATCTCTCAGAGAGAGAAATGTTTGCACTTCAGCTACATTTTATATTTTATTGAGATGATAAAAACCAAGATTTTGTGAAACAGGAGCCTAAAAGTTTAATTGTGAGTCAAAGATGGCATGCAGGTTTCTTGTTGGCTCACAGTAAGTCCTAGAAAATTAAATTTTCTGGCTGGTTTCTCTCTGTATGTGCTAATAATATGCTATGACCACACGTGTGTGCATGTTTTTGTATGAATAATACCGTGACGTGGTCCAGGTCCTGGCCCATCTCCTGAGAGGAGGCCACCACGTCTCTCTCTGCGATCCAGTGTTCTAGGTCCTCCACCTCTCGACTCAGCAAGAAGTGGTGGTAGGTGTGGTCCAGCTTCTTCCTGCGGTCCTCCGCCAGGTCCTTCAGCCCCGCGTACTGCTTATCCACCTGGCCCTGTCGCCTGATTATCTCCTCGCTGCAGAAAAGGTAAAGGGAGAGGATGGGAGGAAATGAGATGCAGGGAGGATGGAGAAAATGAGAAAAGGGCAAAGAGATTGGATTTAGGTTTACTCTAGATGAGGCGTGTGATTAAGCATACAAGAATTATCAAATTTTATAGGCTTGTCTCTCTTATCACGCAAAACCACAACTGAGTGGGACAACATGAGTGAATTAGCATCCTAACAAGGAGTTCAGATGTAATTTTGTCTGTGTGTACATCAGATAATCAAGGCACAAACCCATCAGGATGGTCCTCTGCAAACATTTTTTGGGCACGGTCAGCCAGCCTCTGAATGGAGTCGGCATAGTCGTCCACATCTTGCTTAAGGATCATGTGGCGCTTCAGCATCAGCATGGCACTCTGCTCATCCTGGAGAGATGGAAGAAGAAATTATGCGAGAAAAGGGGACAGGAGACTGCACATCAAAGCAAAACAAAATACTCCAAATGAGCTCTCAGTAGAGGGTGCCACTTATAAAAAGCGTGTCAACTTAATTGAAGAAACCACTAACCATGTAATCATGTTAATGCATGCACTGCCACTTGTTATTTGCGCAACATGATATGCCTTGTTTTGATTTAGATAATAAAATCTGTGTTTCAGACATCTGTGGCCACTTCCCTGAGGTAATCAGCCTGCTTTCTCATCTGTCACGTGCAGCACTCGCTCTTCTCCTCACCTTAGCCTTTTCATCAGCGATCATGTAAAGCTCCTGCTCCCCTATCCAGGCTTCGGCCTCATCCGCGTCATTGTAGTACTGCTGGGCCAAGTTGGAGCCGTTCAGCCTCTCCCTGCGCTTGACCATCTCGTCCTGCAGCCGAGCCCACGCCTCCTCCAGCTCCTTCATCTGGTCCGTGATTCGCTCGGCCTCTGGTCTGCCCTCTGCGCTGGCGGCAGCCGCCATTCTCCTCCCCCGTTCTAGCACTTCATCGATGCGAGGCTGGTGGCCCTCGATCTCCCTCTGCAACGTCTGATGGACAGAGAGGGAGACTGTACAGCATCGCCCCAGAGACAATATAATAGTGTCCAGGCGGCTCTAAACTCGCTCTGCAACTGCTTTTTTAAAGACGCTGACACATTTTCGATCAACTCATATATATACTCGTATGCTTTTGTGATATGTGGAAACATAAAGAAAATTTTTTGTTTTCTTTGCTTTTACAGCTTAAGTAGTGGATATTATCTTGCCTGACAGCTGGCAATCATTTTACTGCAAACACAGTATTCTGTATCTCCACTGACAGACATTTTTCAAGCACCAGCTTCTCAAATAAGATTTATTTGCTGCTTTTCTTTATCATTTAGAATTATAAACTGATTTTATATGGGTTTTTGACTGTTGGGATAAAATTAGCAATTTGAAGAAGTCACCTTGGGCCCTAAGAAATTGTGAGCAGCATTTTTTCTTGCATTTTATAGAGTTTAATCAGAACAATAAATCAAGAAAATAATTTTTAGACTGAAAAAAATAGTCTGATGCAGCCCTAAAAGTATCGATTCACAGTAGAGCTAACCACCCTCACCTGGTTCTTCTTCAGAAGCATTTGCACTGTTTGAAGATTGTGGCCATGTTCTTGTGACATTGCCAGGGGCATCCGCTCCTCAATCCAGAGCTGATAGATAGAGAAGAAGGAGAAAAAAAATAAAAATAAATACGACCATGAAAAGAGAAAATAGTAAGGGCTGGTTTCTGTTGAGAAATTGCTTTACAGATCTCAGCTGTACACAGAGTATAAATAAATCTTCAGACCATCTATCTTATATCAAATTTTACCCCTTTACAAAATGTCTCCTACATCTCAAACAGTAAAAATCCTTCTTTAAGCTGTCTCCTCCACCTGATTAAAGTGGATTTAGGCATTGAAACCAATAAAGGATTAAAGCTTTTTACCCAGATTCACCTGGAGAGTCAATTTCATGGAGAGAGTTGGTGGTCTTACTATCTTGCATACTAAGTGCACATACTGTAATTGAAAACTTCATTTCCAAATTAATAAGTTATCATTTCAGGGGGAAAAAAACACCCCCTCAAGTTCAGGCTTTAATATTTCTAAAACATAACTCCCAAAAGGTTTTATCACGCTGTCATTCAAAAGCCAACATTAATCCAGGTCCTTTAAAAATCGAACATGCTTTATTCTAATTTTGTGCCATCAATCATTTTGCGAGGGCAGGGAGTTTCGACACTTTAATTTTGCTCTGAAATTGGATCCATGCTTACAAGCTCGTCGGCCAGGTCTCTGTAGAACTGATGGACAGCCTTGGCGGCCTCCAGCTTGCCCTTGCGCTGGGCCAGCGGTGTGAGGAGCTGCTGGAAGTCCACCTGCAGGGCCTGCTGCTCGGCCTCTAGCTCCGGCTGGTCCTCCCTACCTCCGCCGTGCTGCTTGACGGCCTCCTGGAGCTCTTCCAGCTCCCGCGCCCGGTCACGCACCTGGTTCTCCGTCATCTGGCACGGTTAGATATGATTAGAGGAAGAGATGAATAGCCTTTCAAAAGCCTAATCAGGATGTAGTGGAGGGTAAACCCACCAAAAGTTAGTTTGTCTTGCCCTTTATGGGTGAAACTGAGCTTAGTCACTGTTTTCATGAATCTTTTACCAATGCAGCACCAACTCCAATATAATTTAGAAGACTGTTCTAGTTGTTTGTTTTTTTTCCAACAAATATAAAGCTCACATTAAGATTTAGCTTTATAGGGTTTTTGTTTGTTGTGTTCAGCTGCTTAGAGTAAACACAAATACACATTGAACACAGACACTCACTCACTCAAACCTAATCCTAAGAAAGCACATGAAGCTAAAACTATAATGTATTCACTCCCATGGTGAGATTTAACTACATATGATTGAAGACGTGCGTAAATCCAAAGGAACTGCAGACACAATAAGCCTGCAAATCTAAAGTATAAACAGTGTTTGTTACAAAGACGCAGACCTGATGCTTCTTGAGCAGGATGTTGGCTATAGTCAGGTCTTTGACGTCCTCGTCTCCGCTCTGTAGCTGTTGCTGCAGCTCACCGAGCCACTTTCTCATATCAGTCAGGCTCTGGTCGAAAAGCTCGGAGCGGTTGGCGTCAAACAGCAGCCGGGCTTTCTCCTGGGTTGTGGACTCCAGCTTGTCCCACAGCTCGTGGAGTTTGGCCAGACGCTCCTTCACGATGGGCTCAAACTCAGGCTTGGACTCCATGAGCTCCTGACCCTCCTGTATCCAACAAGAACACAGATGGAAGATGTTTCTAAAATGCTTCACTGTGAAATAAAACAGTTCCTTCCCAGTTAATTTGTGATTAGAATTTGTGATATGATATTATAGTATCTACCCGAGCAATGTCATGGGTCAAGAGGTGTGTGATGTCAGTCGGCAAAAACTTTTATCTAAATTTCTCAAAGATCGCTCTGTACTCACTAAGATGTGCCTACTTTGGAACAATCCAATCAAATATGAAGAATTTGACCAAATCCTAAAGCTAAAGACACTTCCTAACTTCACTGTGAATTTAAGGCCTAATTTGGGATCCCTCATCATGAGTTTAACCTTGCATTAAATCAGTTATTGTCAAAGGCTAATATGAAAAGAATAGGTCGCGCTTAAGATATCATAATGATTTTTAATTAGTATTCAGATACTACCCCTCTCTAACATATAAAACAGACATACACAGGTGTACATAGGCACATAGGCAGCATTACCAACCTGATCTACTTTGTTGAGCCAGTCCTTGTTGGAGCCCAGCTCAGCCATGAAGGCCTGATGTTTCAGCCATTTGCTGTGGAGGTTCCTGGCCTCGTCGTACGACGTGTCCTGAGCCGTCAGCATCTTCTCGTTGATCCACAGAGTCAGCTGTAGCATGAAGAGGAGGGGTCAATATTAGGGATTAGCAAAAAAGATTCAAATCAACAACTAAGACTCAAGCATGTAGGGTTACAAAACTTGGGAAAGTCATGGAAACATCAGCATTTTAAATTTGTGCAGAGGTGACTTTCTTTGAGCAGGATTTACTTCTTTATCTTTTGGAAACAGCGCATTTACCAATTAGCCAAATGGGACCCCTATCCCAATAAGGGAAGATACAAGTTTAGCCTAAGAAAGCCTCATCAAGTACCACTGTGTTATAGTAAACAAAGCAGAGTGTGTTCTGCAAACTGTCTACAAGAAATAAAGAGGAGGAAAAACACTATGATGTCAAATCTCAGTGAGGGAATAATTAATCTAATAATTGATGTACTAATTGATGTTACCCAGTGATTACATGAACAGTAAACTGACAATGAACTCACATCCTGAGTGTTTTGCAGGAAGTGCTGCAGGTCTCGGTTGTCTCTGAGCTTTTCTGACACCTCCTGGGCTCTTCTTTTATTCTTGTTGTGCCTGAAGGTCAAACAAAAAGCCAAGAAAATACATTGAAAATACAACTCAAGACTGAGTAAATCTTCATCCACCTTTTTATTCAACACCTCTCTCTGTGACATAACAGGATGTATCGCTGGCCGAGAGAGAACACACAGAAAAATACCTGACACAGTAACCTAAAACAGTCATCTGTTTCCCTGCTACACCGTGAAGAATAGCTCTCACTTAAAGATCAATATCCATTATTGCCGGCGCCTGTCTACCAAGCTGAATTGTGGGAGTTAATGGGAAAAGCTCCTATGCCCTCTCTACTGCTTCTTGTTGACGCTAATGATACAGTGATAAGAAAGCTGTTTCGCTGCTGAGCCGGTTAAAGAAGAAGGTCTGAAGAAGAATGAGTTAGACTGAACAGATCTATTCTCTAAGTCACATCAGGCCCCGAACAGCATTTATCAAACGGCTAAAAGTGAAATTTTGTGTCAAGTGATGATAAAAGTAAAAAATCTAGCGTAGATACTAGAGGACTGCAGTATAAAAACTGAGGCGACCCCCTTCTGACACATGTTCCTGTGTGATTGTACAAAATATCATTGATCACGCGGAGACAATATGTATAATTCAGAAAAGATTCGTTTTGCTACCATTGCAATCACTTTGCATAGGTCTTCACTGTCAAGGTGGTACTACTCTGTTTAAAATATATTTTCTCTGATGTATTTTGTCTACCTGCACCAGAATTTATTTTTCTTTCTGTTTCTGCCACTTTCCAATATTATTCCCTATTTGAATATTATAAATATATTAGATTGTTGTTAATATCATATGGTAATTGCTATTTGGTATATTGAGGATTTCATATATATAAAACTAGTATAGTATTTTTAATGTAAAGCTTTTCTTTATAAAAAATTAACCCTGGGGCAGATGTTGGGTAAATCTGATATTTAGCATAATTGTGATTAATCATGCCTTTAAATATTACTCTTACACTTCTGTAAGTTGGAGTAACTGTTAAATAAATAAATGTGTCACACACTTGGTAAAGAACTTAATACTTCTAAACTGGCTCTTTCTTAAGTGTAATTCTTATAATGTTTTGATCAATACTGACTCTCAGAACAAAAAAGAGGTATTCACATTTTCTCTGAAAAATGATTGTGGGAAAGAACAAGACAAAAGAGGATCCCTCTAATCAATGCCAAATGTGGTTTAAATCAGGTCAAAGATTTCTCAGAAGTACTACAATATAATAATAACATTGTACTATTCAATAGCCCTTTTTGACGGCAGTTCACTAAAATCATATTGACCAAAAACCTGACCTGTCTCGGATTGAGTCCATTTTGTCCTGAACTTTCCCAGAGTACAGGTTGTTACTGTCCACCAGCCGCTGTCCACCCTGCAGAGCGCCGTCAATCTTGTCCTCGTTGGCTTCCATGGTGCTCACAAAGTCCTCATGCTTCTTCAAAGCTTTCTCTGCCCCAGCCAGGGTGTCGGGCTTGTCTATGTGAGCCAACGTGTACTCCTGCAACAAAGCCAGGAAAGAATCAACAAAGAAACAAAAAGAGACTCACAACCAGCTGACTACATTATAGGAGAGACATGCGGCATGGTTACTGACCGTGCTGCATTCTTCCATACCACATTCTTTTAAATACCTGTAGTTTGACTTACCCCATCATTAACAAACTACCCTATCTCTGAATCACACTAGGAGCAGGAGAAGTGAGTGGTTGGTGGGGTCTATCTACATTTTTACACTTTCTGTGAACCTAAGACTTGTAAGAATGGTAAATCCATTCCAAGCACCAAAACAATCGGTCCACATGAGTAAAGGTGTGCGTTCACAAGAGATTTGAAGAATTTCAAAAAATAGACATCATTCAAGCTTTTGGGTCAAATTATCTCTATACAGTGCTTTAAGACAAATAGTGCCTTATTACAGATAGATGAGGCTGCATATTTTCATATTTGGATATAAAACACATAAATATATCATGTAATGCAAGTCCCTTTGAACGGTGACTTTAAGAAGATATGTAAAAATCAACCCCAAAGGGTTAAAGACAGGCAATTCTGACACATAATCCTACTCTACATACACATGAAATACAGTACCTGGTTGTTCAGGATGGCATCTACAGCCTTGCCATCCCTCATGAACTGCTGGAAGCCCAGACCCTGGTCCAGGAAGGTTTTGCGGCTGTCCCACATCTTCTGCAGTTCATACCAACCACGGTCCAGCCCCTTCAGCCTCTGCTCCAGCTGCTGGTACTGAGGATCATCCTCCTGGCCCTGGGTGACCTGGGCACCGGTGTCCCTCACGCGGTGGTAGTCCTCCTCGTGGTTGCTTATGTCTTCACGCACAGCGTCATGAAGGCTGAGCTGCTCCTCGGCCTCCGGCAGCGTGCTGGGCACTTCTTCTGACGCCACAGCCTTCTGGGTCTTGAAAAGCCAGGACTGGAAGTCATCCATGTCTTGGAGGAAGGTCTGTAACTTGCTGACCTCACCCAAAGAGTCCTCTCTGTCTTTCAGGGTCTTTCTTAGCGTGTCCCAGGCCTCGTCCAGCTCCCTTCTGCGGGCCAAGATTTCATCTGCACTCTCAGGGTGGTCCAAAGCCAGCTGATCGGCCTCTTTCCTCAGGAAGGTAAGCTTGGTGTCGATGGCAGCCAGATCTCTCTCCATGCCAAACAGCTTCCTCTGGATGGTCATAACAGCTGCCAGGTCATTGCCCAAGTCCTGCGTGGACTCGATCACCCGTGTCTTATCTCTGATCCAGGCATCTGTCTCGTCACACTCCAGCCCGTAGTTGTTCAGACTAACAGCAGAATCCACTTTCCTCTTCTTTTCTTCCACCATGGCCTTGAAGGCCTCCCACCTGAAAGTGAAGTATTTATTTAACGTCACATGAGCTCTCAAAATATATTTTTCAAACTTTGGTAACGCTTTCATTTCCTCATAATTCTTTTAACTTCTTGATGTTTTCTGGAAAGAACCAATTAATTCCATACTAATTATAGGGAAAATATTCCTTGGAAGAAGTGCTTGATTTAAAGTAAATGTATTCCCTGTAGACAAATTTCACACTTCTGCATGTCCCACTGACCTGCTGTGCACTGACTAAAAGAGCTTGCTAGCAATTAACAGAAAATGTCTAGAAATTCACACCAATTGAAAACTGTCTCTGTTTCACCTATAATTAGTGCTAAATTACAGACTTCTTTCCAGGAGACTTCTTGAGAATTATTAGGAAACTATGGACCTGCAAAAAGAAGTGTTACAAAAACATACTGTATGTCATATGCCTCAGTGCCAAGAGCAAACATAAAAATGTGTATCTTTTTTGTTATTTATTTAATTTATAATTCTGAATGACTAATTAGACATGTTGACGCACAAATAAACAGTCAAATGTATGACACATAAAAAACAGATTATATATTCAAAGCACCTCTTATTCAGTCGCGTCTGACATTCTTTAACCTCTTTGGTGCGAGGGTGTCTGCTGTCCTCAAGCTGTTTCACGGCTTTGTTGACATCATCAACTCTCGTCTGAACATTGCCCATTTCTTGAGCTAGAATGCTCAACCTGAAAACAAGAAGTGTTAAGTGTTATTTAAAATAAAAACAGTACAATGTAAAGGATGCATAAACACATGTATACAATATCTGAATTTGGATAGAATCAAGTAAGTTATCTGTCAAAACATTACATTTTTTTCCAGATTTTTGTGAATTAAAATATTAAGTCTAGACAAATTTGTTCTGTGTACCTATTTTGTACTACTTCCAGATCCTCCAGCTTCTCAGGCACCTCTAAACCCACAAGCCACGTCTCCTTCTGGCCCATCCAGAGCTCACAAGCGTCTGTCTCACTGAAGATGGTGTACAAGGCCATCGTGTCATCCAGCTGCTTCTGTCTCAGGTCAGCCAGAGACATGAGCTCCATGTACAGGTCCTTGATGTCTTTCAGACGTCTCTGGATATCAGGGGTGTTTTGCAGCTCCTCTGGCAGTGCATTGGCCTGTTTGGATAGCGCATCTATGGTTGCTCCGTTCTTGATTGTTTCATTCTTAAGGCTGTTGTGCTTTTTCAGTAGCCGCTGGGTGGTGTACTCGTCGTGACCCACGTCATCAGTGCTCATCTGCCTCTTGGCATCCAGCAGCCAGGCCTTGAAATCATCAGCATCTCCCTGAAACTGAAAGAACCTCTGTGTGTCTTGAAGGTTCTGTTTTCGAAACATAGCCAGCTCCTCCAGTTGCTGCCATTGCCTCCTGATGTCGTCCATGCATTCTTGGACTTTCGGGGAGCCAAAGTGTTCTGCCTGGATCATCTTTTGTCCTTCAGCCAAGACCTGTTCAAGGTTGGCGCGGCGGGCTCCGAGCTCATCCTCGAAGGCGCTGTGTTTGCTCTGGAGCACCAGCACGCTTGTCAGGTCCTTCCCATAATCCAGGGAGGAGAAGATGTGCTCCTTCTCTCTAATCCAGCTCTCCAGCTCTGCCACCTCCCACAGGAAGTTCCAGAAGAGGCGGGACTGCTCCAAGCGAGCCCTTCGCTGGGCTGCCAGAGCACAAAGCTCCTGGTAGCACAAGTTCAGGTGCTGCACCCTGTCTCGGATCACCTGGGGATCACATGGCTTATAGCCTAGGGAAAAAATCAAATATACAATATAATCGTTATATATATATTTACTCATTTCACTTTCTCTAATTGCTTAATTCTTCCCAGGATTACTAACACAAACAGACACTTACAGTCATACCTATGACCAGACCAGACAAAACATTTGATGATAACTTTCTGTACTTTTTGGACCATCTTTTATTTAACCTGGTGATGGTCCATTGCTTGCAATCTATCAGTGTCCCCATCCCTAATTAAACTAGGACCAAGGAGCCACTGCACTTACTATCTCCATTGGCGAATTTGAGAGCAGCAGCACTGGCGCTCTGTACTCTCTCTGCTTGTAGAGCGATGTCGTTCTCTAACAGAGCATGTTTCTGTAACAAGTCTTCCACTTCCAGCAAATGTTTCCCAAAGTCAGGAGATAGAAGTCGAGCCTAAAGAGAGGAGCAATCTGATCAGCTTAGTGTCTAGAAAATAAATGTTATTAGCTGATGAATATTGCCTCCTGTGCTGTACCTTCATGTCATCCATCCAGCTGATGATGTAGAGCATCTCCTGGAAGATCCTCTGCAGGGTCAAGTTCTTATCTAGACGCCCCCTACGAGCATTCAGCAGCTCCTGCAAGTAGTCCCACATGCGCATGATGTTGTCTTTCCGCACGTCAATCCGTTTGGCATCATGGTATCGCTCAGACTCCAGCTCCTTTGAGATGTCCACCAAGGCCTGAACACGTTCCTCGTACGCAGCAATGTCTGTCTCAATGGCATCGTGTTTTTTCTTCGCTGCCTCCACTGCTGGCAGGTCGTAACCAAAGTTATCCTGAGAGGAGAGGAGAGGAGAGGAGAGGAGAGGAGAGAGTGGCTCACTTAAAATTGTGAATACAATTTTATTTGTAGTGGTATTGGTGCTTTTACTTAAAGGTGCCCTGCGGAGACAATGGTTTTAATTTATTGTTTCTCACCAAAACACATTGTGTGTAACTTGGAGCTCTAATGAATGTGTTGAATGCATTTCCTTCCCCATAAAACATTTGTGAAGCTCATTTAAAATATATTAAATCCAGCTTTGTTTACATCCATGTTTACTAGCTTGCAGTCTTCTTCTTCCCTGCCTTTGCTTGTGCATTGTAGCACATCTTGCTGCATTACTGCCACCTGTAGGTCAGTGGAATAGTGTGTAACCACTGGTAGGACTGTATCCACATGACTGCATGTTAGTGCCCAAGATAGAAAAAACATGAACCAATCATAGAAAAACAGTGAGTAAAATCCTTAAAGTAAAGGATTTTAATACCTCTTCTTCCACAGATACATTTTTTTTTTTACAATGTTTTACTTGCAGCTTTTACTTGGCATCATCTCTCTATTTTTTCATAGCAACCTGTTTACCTCTCATCATCAGTAATAATCAGATATGCAAACAACCTGCTGTGTCAATTACCGAATGCAAATACTGTAACAATCTGTACGCTTATACATGTCATTTAATTTAATTAGGTAGTTAATCGAGATCAGGATCTTTTTTAAGAGACTGCTCAGAACAAATATCAGATAATAACGTCATATAATAGATCCATAGGTTTGTTGTAGATGTTTTACCTGAGCCACTAGTCTCTGGTTCTCTAGGAGCCAGGTCTCCCTCATGGCAGCCTTCCTGTCGAATCTTCTCGCCATCTGTTCCAGCTTCTCCTGTCTGATCAGCTCATCCCTCAGGACGCGCTCCCGCTCGTGCTCCGCCCTCTCCAGACGCTCCCAGGCCTGCAAACAGATGAAGAGATGGAATATAAGGGGTTGTAGTTTTTGCTAGTTTGGGAGTTTTTTGTGATACTTTCCATTTCCAGTTTAGAAGTTCTTAGCTTGAACTTATAAATCAGAAGTCCACAAATGCCTCAGAGGTCAAGGTCAGCTACAGAACAACTCCTGAAGTCGGTAGGTATTAAGTTTTAAGTGTACATACTGCATTACCCTATCTTAAGGACCTTAAAATTAGGGCTGGAACAAACTATTATTGATTAATCTATCTATTATTTCAGTTATTTTTGTTCGATTAATCGTATTGATCTGTGAGATGTCAGACAAATCACAAGCCCAGGGTACTGTCTTCAACTGTTCAAAACTCACAAATATTACATTTAAAATTATTTAAAACATAGAAAAGCAGCAGATTCTCACATCTTAAAAACTGGAACCAGACTATGTTTGTTAAAATTCAACTTTTAAAAACAGGAACCACAAAATGTTGGACATTTTTGCTTGATAAAAAGACTTAAAAGGATTAATTAATTATCAAATTAATTGTTTTTCTGTTGATGTACTTATTCATTAATCAGCTAATTGTTTTATATCTACTTACAATCCATGCAAATTATATTCACCTGAGCTATATCAGAGGGAAATAGATCCCATGTTGACATGTTAGTTTCTTTTGAGACACACATTTTTATTTGCTTGTGCCTGCAGTGCTGCCAGAAATTAATTTTCTGGTTTACTGAATTGCACTATAGTGTTACCAGTATAATTCAATTCATTTGCGGTTTAATTGTTGCCTCGGGATTGTGCTCTGCTAAATGAATGAATTTTGTCCATCTAGCTGAGCTGAAAAGCCTGAGCTTTAAACCCCAGACTTTTGCATGCTGATCAAAAGAGAGACAATCTTCATATGCAAAATCCAAAGCCAAGCATTTTCTTTATTAAAAGCACAGTTGAAATGATTAGTCCAGTAATTGGTTAGTTAATTAATCGTTTAATTTTCCAAACATTGCCTTGGTCCAGCTTTTCAATTTGTTGTTTTTCTTTGTCTTATGTGATAATAAACTATTTGTGTTTTGTACTGTTAGTTGGACAAAACAAGTTTTTTTTAATTGTGATGGGCTTTCTTTTGTTATTTTCTGACATTTTACAGACCAAATGATTTATTAATTAATCGCAAAAATATTCAGAAGATTAAACAGTAAGTAAAAAACATGATTTTCTTTCTCACCCTGTTGATATCCGCGACCAAGGCTCCCTCTTTAGGTGTGTAAACCCTCTGGTTGTTGGCCCTCATACGACTCTGGATGGTGAACAGCAGCACCTCAAGGTTTCCCTTCTCCTGAAACCTGAAAGAAATCAAACACAAGTCACACAAGAAATGTACATTTACTGCAGTTATGTTATTGTTTGGCCTCTGCAGACCTTCAAAATTTGGAGCATTCAGAACTTTATTGCCCCAACCCACTCTCTCTATGGATTAAATATATTCTTCTCTATGTTACCCTTGGAAATATCCAATGGCAAACTTTCTTCTTTTACAATCCCTGAGTAACGTGTAAACCACATCCAGTGTATGTCTATTATAATTGAATCTTATTCATTTTTATAGTTAATTTTTTTTAAATTATGAAAATCATTTTTCTCTATTATTACTTAACTTCCATTTAATGTCTAAGTAATTATATTACTATTTATTTATTTTTCAATTTGTCTAAATGGCCATTAATTGGTTGTGTCTGATCAGGAATGGGTCTAATATTTGTTTCCTGTTTGTTTGTTGGTATATTGCTGACTCAATAAATCAAAGAGATCTGTATTTTTGTTCATAATGCAGATAATGACAAATACAAGGTGGTTTGTGTCAATAATTTGTGATCTGAATTAATTTAAACTTTAAGTTTGAACTTGTATTAAATGGATTGAATTTATCTGGAAGAAACCCAACTAAAAACAACCTACCACACTCTTTTTTAAAGAATATCAATAATAACTGATAATAAGTCAGTAAGTGTATAACAAATTAATGGAAAGACTGTAATCCTTCTTTTATATCAGTGCGGTTTAATGATGTTATCTTGTGCCCAAAATGAAAATGTTATTAAGGAAATGTTTGGGGTTCCTATTAGAGTTAAACTCTAATTCAGTTGCTCAGAAGGTGTGTTTAAAGGTGGTGTTAAATTACTATTTGGTTTCTGTGCCTAACATCAATCATTGTAAAAGTGAGTCATGTGTTTTCTTTTTGTCTTGAAGATTTAAAACACTGGAAAAGAGAAGAGATTAGAATAGAAGTAGAGTGCAATGTAACGGAGAGGTGTCCTGGCTTGACTCACTTGGGCGGCTTCTCTACAGTGCGGTAGGTGTTGAAGGCCTGAAGCTGCTGCTGAACTCCTGTCAGAGAATTGGCAAGTTTCCGGTTGTTCAGGACAATGATGGTCTGCTCGATCCACGTCAGCAGGTCTGACGCCAATGTCTCATACTTATCAATCATCTTCTCTGTCTCGATGGCGTGATCAAGAACCTGAAGAAGGAAATCAAAGACAGTGAGGGAAGCAGGCTCGACAAGTACAAAAAGCGTGCGCCATCTTTCCATCTCACCTTTCCAACTCTCTTGCCCTCGACAGCGAGCTGCTTCATCTTCGAGAAGTAGTGGTAAAATGCCACGACGTATGTGATGATGGACTTCTCATCTGGGTTCTCTGTGAACACATCTGAAAAACAAAACAGCAACACAATTCAGTCACAGCCAAACCAGAGACACCACTAGTACTGAGGTCTTTTTTTCCACCAGGCTTTAAAGCTCATAAACATTTAGTTCTACATGAAGGCACAGCCTCCATCAGGCACTCGCCTTCTGGGTCTAACAGCTTGGTCACGCCAAGCTTTTGCTCCGCTACGTTGAAGGCGTTCTGGAGGTTGTGGGTCGGGTTGGACTTCTTCAGATTGTTATACTCCAGCAGATCTGGCCTGAAAGAGAAGGATGAAGAGAGCAAAAGAGGAAAAAAAAATTACAATGAGACAGTGAAAGAGATGAAGGAGAATGAGGAGGCAAGACACTAAGCAGACAGGGTTTTATGTGTGTTTACATTTCAGAGCTGGTGAGAGTGGATTTGGCCATTCATCTCTCCTTACCGGTGTTTGTGTATGAGAGCGTTGAAGGCCATGCCGTCTTTCCAGCTGGTGGTGAAGTTTGTGATGTTGACATTGGGATACCTGCAAAACAACAGCCAGGGGATGTCATTGACTGAACATAGGGGACATAGCTCAGGAGCTGCTGTTTTAAATCAGTGTCTGGGATCTGTTCTGCTTCTCAACAAGTGTAATTATGAAACACATATTTCTGTAGCTTCAGGCCTGAGCAGAGGAAGTGTTTTCCCAGAAGAGTATCATTTTGTGATTTCCTCACAAAATGTATTTAAGAATCTTGAGAGGTGGGAAATTTAGAGGCTCAGATTCTGTAATATGACAGAATCCAACTGGATGATAACAAAGCCCAACACATCAAACGAAGACCTTTAACCTTGTTCAACATTTTGGAAAATTTGCTTATTAATTTTCTTTCCGAGAGTGAGATGATTAAATTGATACCACTCTCATGTCTGTATGGTATATATGCTGCTACAGCCAGCAGCCCATTAGCTTATGTTAGCTTATAGAGTGGACACAGAGGGAAACAGCAAGCCTGGCTCTGTCCAAAGGTAACAAAAAGTCACCTACCAGCACATCTAAATCTCTCTAATTAAGGGACTACTTTGACATTTTGAGAACTGCTTATTGGCTTTCTTGCAGTGAGTTAGATGAGAAGATCAATACCACTTTCATGTCTATACAATAAATTTGAGGCTACGGCCAGCAGCCAGTTAGGTCAGCATAAAGAGTGGAAACGGGGAAACAGCCAGCCGGGCTGTGTCCAAAGTACCAAAATCATCCTACCAGCACACAAAACATTGGTTTTACACAATTATTGAATTATTAAATGAGATATAACATGTTAATTAATGAGCTTTAGAGGTGGTAGGTGGATTTTGTTACCTTTGTACAGAGCCAGGCTAGCTGTTTCCACTCATTCATGCTAAACTAAGCGAACTGTCTTCTACTGTAATGGTAACCTCATATTTAGCAGACATGTGACAGGTATAGATCTTCTCATCTTCTCATCAACTCTCTGCAAGAAGTTCCACAAATATAAAACTAATTTTTAACCTTAAAATCAGGAGTAATAAAAATAGCAATTTTATTTATAGATACTCAAAGATGCTTTACATAATGAATGAAATATGTAAACAAGAACCTAGAAAACTAAAACAACATAAGCACAGAAGAGAAGAGCAGTATATAAATAAAATATTAAAAGCTGTTTTTAAAAGGATTTTTGAAAAGACACAAAAAAGTATTTTTATCCACTGAAAGATTTACAGCTGTGCACAGGAGTGGGGTTTTTTATACTAATTCCCAAAGGATATTTCCAACAGCTTGGTGATGCTAAAGGTCACGCATCCCACTTACCCTGCAGTTTTCATCTGACACCACAGAAGAAGAGCGTCCTTGGCTGAGCGCGTCTCCTTCTGGTCCGCCTGGCCCGTTTCCACAATAATGTCCTGGATCTGATGAGGAACAACAAGTACAGCTGGATGGTAAATAATGAAACTTAACTAATGACTATGAGGTTTGCTATCAAACAAGAACAATTCACAACAGAGAACAGAAACCTAACTGATACCAACATGTCACTAACAGGATGTAATGTAGCAGTGGGGAACATTTTGGCAGTGTGGCACAAATACCCCTATGAAATACATTATTTATTATAGCTTACAGAAATACTAGGAGGTTTTATTTGCGTGAAACAAAACTAATCTCAAGTGATATATCATCAATTATTAGCCGACTGGATTCTCACAAATCTAAAGCTGGGGTCCAGTTGATAGAAGGAGGGATGGTAATTATTGAAGTTCTTATTTTCCCACACAGTGGGCCAGTAATTAGAGCAGTGATGTGATCTGAGAGACAGGCCCTGAGAGAGGGCTATATTTAGCCAGCTTTGGTTCTCCTTGGTTTATGCAGACTAAAAAGATACAGACAGGACCAAGTCAACTCCTTTCTTTCCTGTTTGTCTGAATTATGCAGGAGGCCATATTGTTTGAACTACCATGTCTAAAAATAACAGTGTTGCTGTCAGATTAAAAATAAATATATGCCCCCTCCAAGAAGATAAAAGAGCCAAACAGACATGTTCTGATGTTCTGGATGTGCTTCTAACAGCAGATAATAATGGCTGGAACCTGAAGGCATCACATTCCAGGAAAAATAAAGTCGAAAACATCCCAAAGGCTGACAGTTGAGACTGTTTCTGTGCTACATGCATACACACCTAAATGAGACTAAAATTAGTTATAATGTACTCTGATTTTATCTATTTATCTATATTATTTTATAATAGTCTATGGTGGCCTTATCATTAGAACATGCATTATAGTCGTTACACTTAGTCATATTTAAACTGTGGTCGGGCTGCACATGTGACCAGCTCATCATATTATTTGAAGATTGTGATACACGTGTTAAAAACCATCAATATCACGAGGTTTTCAGACCAGAACTGCAATGGTGATATTTTTAGATGTAAGAAAATCTAAAGGAATTGTTAATAAATAATGTTTTTGGTTCTTTTTTTAAAGCTAAAAACATGCTTGGGAAAACTCTGTTGGCAAGAAAATGTCCTCTACAAATGGGTTATTAGTGTATGTGGGGTTGTGACACTATGAATGATTTAAATGGTTGAATTCCAAATTGAAATTTTAAACCTCTTTTACCAACCTGGACACAAAAAAAGTCTGTTGTACACTGACACTGGGACTGCACATTGTACTGGATCTACAATATATTGCAATATATTTAATATTTCATTGGTGAACTAAGATACAGAGAAGAAGCTGTACTTCTGCTTTTACTCGGTATAACTGATAGCGAAAGACAAAGGGAGTTATTCAAATCAGCAAAGTGAAGTAAATAAAGGTAAATAACAGCTTTCGGTGTAGCCAAGGTCTTAGTTTACCTGGAAGCGAAGGATGATGGTCCAGATGAGGCCAAGGATGAGGCGATGGTTGCCGTCGACGATGTCATGGGAACCCATGTTCTCCAGGTGGACCCTCTGCTCTTTGAGGAACTGCAAGGCCTTGTCCACATTCTCCAAACAGTGGATACGCATTCGGCCCTTAGTGGGTTTTGGCTATAATGAAGAGAATGAGAATAGATGGAAGCATTATAAAGGTAAGAGTGGCCACAGGGATGACACACAATATAAAAAAGGAGATTAAAATATAAAACTGTGAGGTTTGACAAGGGAGCGTCATACCAGTCGTTCTCCGGACAGCACCTCCAGCAGTTTAATGAGCATGCGTCCGTCCCGCAGGTCCAGGTAGAGGTCAGAGATGCGACAGCCGACCCGGGACAGGATTGAGTTGACCCACTTAGTGAAGGTCTTCTTCTGAACCGCCTCACGCTCATCTGATGGGAGCACAAAGTTCAGAAAGAACATGAGCTCCCGGAGTAATGAAATAACTACAGAACAGCACAACTGGATCTGGCAGGGATTAGCGGTCTTGCTCAAGGGCACTTCGGATATATGGAGGACCCTGATGTGAGTTGAGGAAATCTTACTGGTTAAATTAATCCTCAGTGTTGAATAAAGCTGTGCACTCTCGTTAATTACTGAGAAAATACTGCTTGGACATACCCAGTTATCGTTATTAGCTCAGTCAGTTTTGTCTGCGGCAACCATGCACTCAAAAATGATTCTTTGGTTCCACTGGTTTAATCTAACTCACCCAATAATAGTATTTCTAACTTCAAGAAAGATGATTTTCCATTAACCATGGACCAATTCAGAAGCAATGGACCCCTGGGCATAGTCATGTAAAACGGCCCCTACCCCTCCTACATAACCAGAACTCTCAGGAGCTGCTGTATTTAGTTCACGCTGGAGATGATGAGAGTCTGTCTGACTGCTGTCTTAAAGCTTCCTGATACAGCAGATCTGCACCGACACTCATCTGCAGATGTTTTACAAAATAATGCAGCACACACTATACAGAATATTAAAGGAAAACCATCAAAGGAAACACAAGAGCTTTTCTTCTGTTCTGATTTAAACTGCTTTACCAAGTTTACTGTAATTTAATGAAAAGCTACTGTAGCCTCAGTATGCAGTGTAGGCATTATAATAAACAAAAAACAAGTCTTAAACTGGATTTGATATGCAGATACTCAATATTAGGAGAGCAACATCTTATAGCTCAGTAGGGATGCTCAAGAAATGTTAACACTTCAAACTGAGACTCTTTAATAATGCATCCGTGTCCGTAACTAAATCTCAATTAGTCAATTAAATGGTCAAACTTCATCACAGTGCTGCGCTGCTGAAAAAGACTCACTGTGACACATTGTTGTGTCAAAATGGGAAACAATAAAAAGAGGCCATTTTACAAGATTTGGAAACATTATTCTTACTATATATGTGTACAATGCATTTCTTTTGTGGGAATTAGAGCAATATATGTTCATCAATAAAACTACTCTAGTGGTACCATTACTTAGTTAAAATGCCAACATTTCTTGTAAACTGGCACTTTTTGCTCACTTATCAGAGTTGGGGGAGTCAAGATTGGTCACACATGCTTTGGCTATTAAACAACTGACATGCTTGACATGATTACTGATATGACTTCAGAACTTTTTTGCAAATTTGATTCACACCGTCACAAAAGAATACTCCCCAAGGAAAAGCTTGACTGTAATTATCTACATCTCCTCATCCTCCTTGCAGAGTAGATAGAGAAGTGGTGCCACATAATAACATCACATGCATTAAAACTTAGGTAAACACAAACGAGGTCTTTGCATAGTTAGGTGTAGGTGTGCGGTATTTATGCTGATATTCCTCGACTGCAGGAAGGAGAGGGGTGGAGAGAGTACGAGCGTCAGACTTGGAGAGGTTTTTGGGAGGATGAGCGCTGCCCACATGCTGACACATCTTGCTGGGCTCACGCGCTCACACTTTAAAATCATATCTCAACGCACGGCAGATGTGCCTCCCACTCAGTGGCAAAAATAAAACCAATTTCTGATGGGACCATATGTCAGCATGACCCAATGTTCTATACACTGTTTATTTTGTTTGTACACTTAATTGGAATGGGAACGGGGGCGATGTGAGTGGGTGTGCGCTTGTGACTGTGGGTTGTATCTGCATTTAGTAAGCATCTAAAATGATCCAAATCTACCTGTATGATTTAAACTCGCTCAGTTAAGTAAAAGCATACAGAGTAGAATAAGAATTTATGTGTGCAGAGCAGGACATTTTACAATTAAATCAACTTGTCAGTGCTTTTTTTGTGAGTGTGATACAGGAGGAGACAAAGAGACTGGAGCAAAGGTAAACCAGGGAAGAGGAGGAAGAGTAAAAGAGGGCAGGCAGTGAAAGGCAAGACAGAAAGTAATGCAGAGACTGACTGAGATTCAGGCAATCAGGTTTAATCTTCAGAGACCCAACTAGGAAAATAGAACAAGATACATATCCTACAGTATCCCCCCTCAACATTTTTGGTGAACTTTGTTGCAGCTGCACAGTTTCTAAATTATCTAAAACATACTTTTGGTATTTCTCTTCTGCAATTTCTTGTTACTTATCACCCTCCATACTCACCAATAACTATATATCTGCTATAAACTGATAACAACCCAGTCGATTTAATGATGTAGCTTAAAAAATGAGATCTAGAGACAACAACATCTCAGAGGCAATGGTTTAGTGGTGGCTGGAGCAGTGGGTATACTTAATTTATGCCCCAATCTTCTTTAAAGCAACCTGTCCAGCAAAGGATAAACACCCTGTGTTATAAACAGTAATGTGTAAGACTACTCTTGCACATTTCACCCAAAAATGGGTCAGTAGTATTTGTACTACTTGACTCCAGGGAGTAAAGATCATTATGAAATTAACATTAGCCACAGAAGAATTAGTACTGGCCCACAGACTATAGGGTGAGACTACTTCCATCCTCTCATGAAAATCGGACAACTATGTCATGTATGTGCCATCGTAGGAAAAACTTTTAGCTTGTAGAACTACTGTGTGCATCAGAGGGGATTTAGAAGTGGGTACACCAAATGCTGACTGAAAAATAAGTGGGTATACTATGAATATCTGTGTATACCCTCCACTACACCACTGCTCAGAGCGGAAAATATGAACAGCAAAGTGTTAGCTGGGACTGAGACTGCAGCTTGTATGCAAGTAAGATCTTTTATAATATTTATGTAAGGCTGGAAAATTCTCATCGCCATATTTATTAGCCAATATGTTTAATTTATGGATGATTCAAGGTCTTGGTACTATTGTTGAACTCAATGTCACAATATTAACAAGACTTATAAATGATGAACATTGTAATATATGCATAATGTAATAGGCTACATCTAAAATGATTCAATTAATGTCCAATGTAATCCAATCTGTTTCACTGTTAATCTTAGCCTTAAATCACTACACAAAACTGTCCCACTCAGTGATCTATTATTTCATTTCATTTTAACTATTTTTATGTAAAAATGACAAAAATTCACTGTCTCCAGCTTCTTTAATGTGAATATTTTTTATTTTACTCACCCCCAAAAAATGGTCTTCTTGGACTGTTTGGGCTATTGATCAGAAAAATTGGGACATCTAACGATATCACTATGGGCTCTGGAAACAGGGGCATTTTTTACTATTAACTGACATTCTGTAGACCAAACAATTGATCTAATCATGAAAATTATTATATATCTAATATCTGTTCATTTATCAACAATAAATATAGCTGTTTTTGATTGCAGCCTTTAGTCCAGCTGAGGTATTTTAGAATAATCCGGAGCATGGATGAGAGACGTACAATGCAAATTGACTACAGTTAACTTGCACCCACAACTCCCAACAGATACACACACTCACACATACTGTACACACACACACACACACACACACACAGCTCCTTAAAGTTTATCAGGTCAGCCACTGGTGATGAGACATTTTCCCCTCAGTCTGCCTGCTGCATTCGCCCTGTTTATTCCTGAACCCAAATAAGAGTACCAAACTACAGAGTGCAAAGGACTGCATCCTTGATGCATGACTTGTGTAATAAATGATTCAGACCCTGAGGCTGTGGAGAACAAGCAAGGAACAGCTAAAAAGCAGGAACGGAAGAAGAGGAGGGAGGAAAAGAAAAGGAAATGGTGGTAGAGAGGAGAAGTTAAAGATATCGGACTAAAGGTTAAAAAGGAGACAATGAAACAGAGTGAGATACAGGAGGAGACAGAGAGACTGGAGCAAAGGTAAACCAGGGAAGAGGAGGAAGAGTAAAAGAGGGCAGGCGATGAAAGGCAAGCCAGAAAGTAATGCAGAGACTGACTGAGATTCAGGCATTCAGGTTTAATCTACAGAGACCCAACTAGGAAAATAGAACAAGATACATTACCTACAGTATCTCCCCTACTGCTAAAAATGACCCAGTAAGCATGGAAAAAACTCCAGCTCCCTTCTTAGCATCATCAAAGAGAAGAAATCAGAGGTTATTGTATGTAAAACACATGGTGCAGCACAGTACAGTAAATAAATCATGCTTCATTCTGCTTCCCTCAGCAGAACAACAGCACGCACTGCTCCACTACATCGACGCAGACATAAAAAAGTAATGGCGATTAAGACATGCAAATAACTCAAAGCTCCAATAGGAGTGTCAGTTCTGGTTTATCACATCACAATCTGTCAGCAGAGTGAAAAACAGAGACAAAAAGCATCAACAAGACGGCCCTCTGTGCAATAAAACCTGTGACAAATGCTTTCTGAACTATTTCAGAAAGCTGCTGCCTCCGGAGGATTTTACAGTGGAGGCAGTAAGAGGACAATTAAAGTTCATCCCCGAAGTGTGCACATGGCTCTCCCGTATCATCTCACATCGGGAGACCTTGAGAGGAGACAGAGTGCACATTGATGCTTCTGGCCATTTAGGAAGCATGGGACAAACCGAGAGGGATGAGGAGTGGGAGGATTGTTGCTTGCGTGCATCCCGCAGAGCCGTCTCCAGATGAGTAGTTCAACAAGCTCAATATGACAACGTTCATCTGTGCGCCCGCTGCTGAACGCGCCCTCAGCTATCATCTAAAAACTAAGTTCTGTTCAACCACAAAAGGTAGAGGTTCTGTATTGCTGAGCAGCAAATTGATATGACATCAGAATGATTAGTGATATAAGTTTCAATATCATCTCTCTTGTTACTGTTATTATGAAGTTATACAGCATGTTAGATTGCAGGTCTTTAAAACTACATTACAGGTACTGTAAGTAGTAAAATGTCAGAGCTTATTCAAGAGTTAGAAGGGAGTTAGAAAAGTTAGAAATCACCTTAAAAGTGTTTCTCAAATCAGCAATCCCAACATTATGTCTTCATATATCGATATTGAGTTGATTC